GTCTTCATATAATTTTTTCAGTGCCATTACAAAAAACAATTATGGTTGCATTTCAGCAGTGCATTATGATTTTTTGTTAATTAATTGGTCTGTAAATTGTTTTTCCCACACCTAAAGTGTAGGGTAGCCCACATTGTGTTTTCATAACTGTACAGTGACCAGTAGTTTATTTATGGGTAGTGGAACAGGCAGCACATCATCAGCATACCTATCAAAGTAATCCCAGAACAGTCACAACTTGCACAAAGAATGTGCAAAGAATGCCACCACCACCTCAAAAAAACAACCCCAGACCAGCAGCCTGACCCTTGAGCGATTGTGGGGCTCAGTGTCTTGCTTAATGAGCCAGGATCTGTTGTCACCACTTCACATTCCTGCCTCATCCCTTAGTAGAGTTTAAACTGCGACCTTTGTGCTGGCAAACAAGGTACTTAACCATTAGACTACTAGTGACCATGGCATGTGCTCGATATCGCTCTCTCTTTCGCTCCTACTTTATGGTGATGTGGCATTTCGCTGTGCCTCTCTAGTACAGCACAAGGACAGAAACACTTTAGTTTAAATGTTTTATTTGCTCCTTTTCTTTAAGAGTGCTTTTAGGTGTGTATGTGTGTGACAAAGACAGGCAAAAATAAAACATTGCAAAAAATGTACACCGCAGGTTATCATTTACACTTACGTTTATTTCTGATGTATATTGAAAGGTCATATGGTGAGGGATGTATACTGTGTGAGCCTGGGAGAAGATTTAAATGAACGGCATTCTTGTTCATGACCCATTTCTGGTTGAGTCGAGGATATTTAAATTTTTTAATTCCTGCTTTTACTTTAAACTACTCACTTGCACTCCAAGAATATAAAACATGCAGACACACAGCACTTTTACTCCAGAGAGCCAGAGAGAAATCCTTCCTGCTGTAGTGTGTGGAAAAGGTGGAGGGGGAGAGACGGGCTGAGAGTGAGGGATGGAAAAAGAGAAGGGTGGAGGAATATGAGGTTGCGCTCGGGTCAAAAGAGAAGATGGATTGAGTTCTGTAAATGTGGCTAATATACTTGCAGCAGTTGTGTCGCAACTTCTGGGACTCATTGCATGTGTGAGAGAAACTACGTTGTGTAAAAGGTTTCATCCTTACATGGGCCATGAGTATGGGATGATATTAGACTCAAAATGATTAATAGATGCACGCACAATTATCCATGTACTGCATAAATGTTATACATGTATCTTACTAACCACAAACAAATACCTTTCAATTTTAGTCTGTGGAATTCGGGATTAAATGATTGTTCAGCAATTTGTACAAATACAGACATGTTTGTGAATAAAAATGTTCTGTTCTGCATTAATATATCATAAATTTCTCATGCGAAAAGGAATCCGTGCATAAGCGGATCAGGTGACACGCGTGCATTAATTGACGTCTCGTTCGAGTCGATCTTGTTTGGTTCATTTGGATTTTGAGACTTCATTTTCGCAGTTTACAGCATTTCACGTCCCCCACACACACAACTACCAACAAACAAGTCCCAGTGCAATTCATTGTGTACACAATTTGAAAAAAATCGCAAATGTGCTCACTACACTGAAACAAATGCTTTTCAACCGGTGTCTGCAGAGTTAAGAATTACATTTAATGTGCAGCATATTGTTCAAATAGAGACATATTTGTGAATACAAATGTTATAGTTTGTATTAAAGTATCATGATTTGTGCATGTAGCGATTAAAATGCGCATTTGTGGATCAGGCGACACGCGTGCATTCATTCACGTCTCTTCTGAGTCGATTCAATTTGAATCATTTGAATTGAGACTTTCGTTCCGCCCTTTAAGCCTTGCCCAATCCACACACACACAGCTCGCGATCCACACGCAGCTGAGCCACAGAAAATCAGCGACCACTAGATGGCACTAGCCCCAGTCACATGTGCGCATTCCATTGTGTACAGTTTTTTTTTTTCTGTAATTCAACGGCACGTTGTCAGTTATTCCTTCCTTGTATTATTATTATTATTATTATTACTATTATTATTATTATTATTAAAAGGGCTATTATAGTCACTCATTTAAGCCATTAGTAATCACACGTTTATATTTAATTAAACTATTAAATTAACTTAAACTATACTAAATGAGCATTTTATAGGCTATTCTGCGCTCAAGCGGATCACATAAATAACCATAACATATTTTGTTTAGGCAACTTATTACTAAACTGTTTTCTGAGTGAGTGTCTGCAAAGATGAATTTGATGATGCTGATGAATGACTTTATTCTCAAAATTTTATAATTTTTATTCTCCATTTTATTTCTCTATTTTTCTGGATATTTAATGAGTTTAATCTCGCATTATAGGCTAATGACTTTATTCTGGAGATGTTTTTTTTTAATTGTTTGGCCCTATAATCCTCTTTCTTGCTCTCTCATTTGGCACGAATCCAAATGTTTCCATATTCACAATGTTGGCTATTTATTAGGCCTTTGTAAACCAGGCTTTGTACTTAACCCACTTTCCCCCCCCAAAAAAAAATCATGGTTGTCTTCACATGAAAAATCATCCTCTTCACATGAGCAAATATGTGCTTGGCCCAAGCTCAGGCTGAACGGCACGGATTGTACTACAGGCCGTTTTAATTAACCAGTGTATCTAGATTCTATAGTATATCTATATGTTTGGTTGACTATTTTATGCACTAGCAATGCACTAGGACTATATGAAAGGTGCATTTCTCTCATACTGCAAAGATGGCTAATCAGCATCGTCAACTTCATCTTTGCATAATAATAGCCTGCAAGGAAGGAATAATTGACAAGTTCTTGTTTGGCAAAATTAATATAAGCTATTCTGTGTCTTAAGACAAGTTAAATTAGAACAAGTTCAATAAAACATATTTATTATATTTCTATGGTAGAAGAGACTAGCCAAACCAAAAAGAAACAAAGAAAACACAATGTAACATTCATGAAACCGTACACGATGGAATGCGCACATGTGACTGGGGCTAGTGCCATCTAGTGGTCGGGGGTGTTCTGTGGCTCAGCTGCCCGTGGATCGCGAGCTGTGTGTGTGGGGATTGGGCAAGGCTAATAGGGCGGAACGAAAGTCTCAAAATTCAAATTAATCGACTCAGAAGAGACGTGAAATGCTGTAAACTGTGAAAATTAAGTCTCAAAATCCAAATGAACCAAACAAGATCGACTCAAACTAGACGTCAATTAATGGACGCTTGTCACCTGATCCACATATGCACATTATTCCTTTTTGCATTAGCAAGTTATGATATATTAATGCAGAACAGAACATTTTTATTCAAAAACATGTCTGTATTTGTACAAATTGCTGCACAATCATTTAATCCCGAGTTCCTTTCAAATTGAAAGGTATTTGTTTGTGGTTAGTAAGATACATGTATAAAATATATGCAGTACATGGTTAATTGTGCGTGCATTTATTAATCATTTAGAGTCTAATATCATCCCATACATGAGCTGCTGTTGTTCTGATCTGGTTTTGTCACCCTTCAACCCCTCCCAGGATTCTGGGGCCCCATGAAACACCCACACACTTAGTATCAGTGTTGTAGGCCGCCTCAAGTCAGTTCTTCAGAGTCAACTTCAAGGTGCCACACATTAGTTTGCAATTCATCAGAGAATGCTGCAAATCCATTGTCTTCTAGACGGACTGCTGTGTAGGGGAAAATGCAAGGGTTTGTAAAAGTGATATTCCATGTGGCCAAAAATTACTCTTAGATAGGCATCCAGCAACCAATGAGAATTTCAGAGAGATTGGTCCAGTTGTCTGTTAGGAAATCCAATTTGCTCTATTCCCACTTGAATTCAGACTGACCTGGATCTTACACTTTCATAGTCGTCAAACGCTCTGTCAGAGTTTTCTCTAGTTTGTAAGCACTAGTGATGGTGTGATCCCACTTTTTTTTCCTTGATACTGCTCTGAGACCGGTGACGACATGTGTCAGTGCGGATTTATGCCTAGTAGTGCAGAACAGAATGCAATACATGCATATATTTATTTATGTTTTCAATCATTTCATTTTTAATGTTGTTTAATAAAATTGTTACAGAAAAAAAAATTTGTTACAAGAAATTCTCTTTTAAACAATTGTAGTTTCTGTTCACTGTTTTGAACTATTTATGAATAAATTACATTTTAAAATACAATCAAATAGAAAAATTTATTCTTTTTGAGACTTCTTTTAAAAGATTAAAAAATCTTACTGACCACAGTAGTGTTTGCAGAGTGGAGAATTATTTGAGAGCAGCAAACTTGAATTCCAGCTTGTTTGTCATTCAGGGCTATCATGCAACTCCAGAACACTTGGAATATAATGCATGATTCTTTTCATGTTTTTGAACAATCATGACTAAAGCTAGTGTTGGATTTGCATGCCTGGTGCTCATTCCATTTCAAAACACCCCCAACGTTCCGACACTTTTCCTGGTATCAGATCGGTGTGTCCCTAGTACTGACTCTTAATGTAGATAGATCTTTTTGTCTAATTCACCTCTATATTCCACAACAGGTCTGTGATTGGTTGTTGATGCGCCATCTGGTTGTTTCAAACTCTAACTATCAGCTAGTTTAGCTCACTAGGTTTTAAAGCACAGCCACTATGTGTGAGGGAGGGAATGATCATGAGGTTAAGCTGTGTGTGTAAGTGTGACAGGAATGGACATCCTGAGCTTAATCATGTTTTGGCAGCAGCAGTTTAACCTCGTCTGGAGCTGCCAGCTATGAAAGAGTCTCTGTTTAAAACGGTCTTACTGTGTGCATGTGAGTTCCTGTTACAATGAAATTTAAAAATGTCTGTTTGTTGATTTTTCTCATGATATTTGGCAACTGAATTTATGGGGAAGTGCACTGGAATATGGCATCTCACGTGAATGAAGGGAATGTTGCATTTCGTGACTTTTTGTCTGTTTTTTCTCTCTCTCAGCCGTTTCTAATGTTTGTCTTTTTTTTTTTTTTTTTTCTACTTGCAGAGATAACCAGAGTGAGGAAAGACATGTATAACGACACAGTGAACGGTCTGGTGGACAAACACCCCCTGGAGTTACCAGAGCCAGTGGGACCCATCGTACATCTGCAGGAGAAACTCTTTGTACCCGTCAAAGAGTATCCAGATGTAAGTCTCAGACCTGCACTTTCTACATTGTTCTGTTTTATGATGCTGCTGATCCTTTTAGAATCAAGCAGGGCCGATTGACTGTTACTGTAGTGACAGATGATTGACAATTATAGTGTCTGATGAACTCTAGAGGTGAGAAGGTTTACTCTTGGTTCTCTAGCAGAAGGAAACATGTTTGGGTGTAAATGAGGACTCTCTGTCATAAACTAGTTCAGCAGTAGTAGTTTTTATCAGGCCCCTGCAGGAAGCTGGGAATGGTGCCGAAATGCCACACGCCATGTTCTAGTAGTAGAGTGGGATCTTTTTGGAGTTTGTTCTACATTGAAGAGAACGGTTTCCACCTGCGCACACAAGATGTAGCTTGACGTTTAGATGATCATGTTTGACATTTCTCTCATATTCACAGACATAATCACACACACACTGGTGGCCCATGTCACACAGGGAGCAATTTTGCTGCCTAATTCTTCTGCTATGTGGACAAGGGAGAGGGGAGGAAAGAGAAAAGGGGGGTAAGCAGAGCATAAAATGCGTTTTCCCTCTGACGGCCCTGATAAAGGCCACCCTACCTGTCCCAGCGGACCACCACACACACATACCGTAACCCCAGTTTTCTCTGATTCTGAAGCAGAGTTAATTATGATGCTTATCTTTATTTTGTGCAGAATGTTTCTTTTTTAAATTGGCCTTTACATTTAAGCACTTCCTGTAATGATTGCTGCTTTACTTGAGAAATATGTTCACCTCTATATGACCCGGAAAGCTGAACGTTAAGGTAATTTTACTATAGGTAAGGGGGTATTGTTAGGAATGATGCAAATTTGATCAGGGGAAAAATTGAAGTTTAGGTGTTTTATGCTCACCAAGACTGCATTTATTTGATCAAAAATACAGTAAAACAGAAAAATTATCAAACGTTATTATAGTTTTTCTATTTCAATATGTTGTGAAATGTAGTTTATTCCTGGCATGGCAAATTATCTTGTATTGTCTGTAAGTTAATGTATTTAGATGTTTAAGAGTGTGTTCATGTGACGTCTGTCTCAGAATAGCAGGAACAGCTACTGGAAAACATGGCTGACCAGTATAGAATAAACATCACAGTCATGCCATGGAAAATATAGAGTGACTGTTTGTGTGTTTGAGCAAACGCAAGTAGGAGGACACACACACACACACACCAGTGTACATAGAATCCCCAGCTGACCCCCTCAAATCTATTTCTCTCTCACTGTGTTCCCTGCAAGTCTCGCCTCATTATTCTCCCCCCTGGTGGTTAGCATGAGTCACTGTTTCACAACACACACACAGACGTTTCCACCCAAATGTTCTAAACACGCAGGGAAAGGAAGAATAATTGCAGCCATTACTGAGCCGGGAAACGGTAGCATTTACTAAAGTCACAGTCTCTCTGATTTGCTCTTTCAGGCAGGTGACTTGGCTCGGTCATCCAATCAGCATCTTGATTGAGAATAAAGTGTTCATGACTGGTGATTCGGAGGTGTTGATATTTAAGTAATGATTTCTCAGTTGCCTTTCAGTCAGATGGAAGATGTTTTATTGGTGTTTTATAATGTAAACTCGCTGTATATTAAACACTGTGGTTTGACACCTGATCTAGTTACAGTTCCAGGAATAAAGGGAGCTTGCTTTACATTTTGAGCTCAATTCACAATTCTAGCTCTTATACTGTAAAAGGTTATTTTAAAATTAAGTCTAATGGCGGCGAGAGGTCTTGTTTAAAGTGTCGAGTGAGAAGGGAAAAAGCATGCAGGAAGAACTGCATGTAGGCCTGGGCGATAAAACGGTATCAATATTTATCGACGGTACACCTTCTTCGATTTCATAATCTCGCAATAAAATCGTCTTTTTTTTTTTGCGTAACTTGTCAGTGAACTACGGCTCTGTGTAGTAAATGCTGCTCCATCTGAAAGCACGTGATGATGATTTACTGCTGATTATAGAACTGGATTTACTAACAAAATGCGCATGACAATCGCATTTAATTAATCGTGCAGCCCTAGTGCACGATATAGGCACGTGCTATGAGTGACGCAGACAGCATACACGAACACATGCTGAAATGAGTGCTGTGCCTGCCTGTGATGAGGAGTTTGTAAATAAAGAATGAATACTTGTCGAATTTAAAATAAATATTTGCATTTGAATGTTAGGTGTGCATCAGGGAGTGACATTAGTGGCGCACGAGATGCGGTGATGTAAGTGACGTTGTTGCACTTTAATGTTTTGTTAGTCTAGCCCACGAGATGCGCCGCTGCTGTGTTATGCATTCAAAATATTAGAGAAATATAGAAGCTCAATGCGGAGAAGATCTTGATTAGGTGAAAACCGAAACCAAGCCATTCACACAGATGAATATTCGGCGCATTTTTAGACAGACAAATATGACTACATTCGCGTCTCACACGAGATGTAACCATGCAAAGTTAAAATAGTTTAAACCTTTAGAAAACCCGTCACGAATTTGTGGTTTATTCCTTTTCACTGCATCTCTTATGTTTTTAAATGCAATCTGCGTGATGGGCGAGTTCGGCTCTTTGTATTAAGCAGTGCATAAATACATGATGCTGTTTTGTTTATGCAATTTCTGAAATTATTTTTGACTTATACAAGTTAATTTAGACGTAATGCAGGTTTTTTTTATAGACGTTTCCTTGTGTTGACAATTTAAATGTGCTGCATTATTTTGCTCATTGCGCCCTCCTGTGGCCTTGGGAGACAAGCCAAAAGTTTCCTTCAGACCTATTTAGTCTGCATATAAAACATTAGAAATTAGATATTTATTACATTTTTTTTTTGTGTTTGTTAAAACAAAAAATATTTGTTGTTTGTCTCAATAAATTGGGTTAATTTAAAAATACAGTGGTTAAATTAAAAAAAAAAAATTCTATTGCTCCACTTTAAAAAAAGGTTATAAAAATGTCAATAATTATCAATAGGGATGTAACTATTCACTCAACTCACGATTTTGATTTCACAATTCGATTCACGATTATTATTATTTTTTTAACAAAATGAGTTTTAAGAAGTTAATCATTACATGTGTCCTTTTATTGTTGCTTGGACAAAATGCTGCACATTTCTTTGTGAAATTGAAATAACACTATAATAATATACTAATATAGCACTTGCATATTACTGCCCTTTTGTTGGTTTTGATTGCTTCTATTGTCCTCATTTGTAAGTTGCTTTGGACAAAAGTGTCTGCTAAATGACAATTTAAATATAATGTAAATGTAAATAACAAAACTACATTGAAATTTTAAAACAAACCCCAAATCAAATAAATAACACAAAATAAATCTCTTCATATAAACAAAATAAGGCTTTGTCTGTGCTCTTTCCTTTTAAAATTAGAGGCAACCACTGCATTTTAATCTTGATTCAAACAAAGATGCTGCATACATGCAACATGAGCAGTTATTAATCTAAATTAGATTGTATAATTTCGAAATTTGAAGCAAAAACAGAATGGTTTGACTTCAGTTTTGTGAAACTATACATAAAAATATCTGCATGAAACAGCAGACGAGCTGAATGAGATGCAGATTCACTCTCTGCCAGCAGGTGGCGCATAAAGCGTTTCCTTGGTTTCCGCTGTAAACAAAGCAGCGCTGAACTTATGAACTTTTAATATGCATTATACAGAGGAAAGATGAAAAGGAAAAAATACCATCTTAACTTTTTTAAAGACAGTAAGTTTAGCATCTCAACCAGGGATTGAAATTAACTTTTTCACTCACCAACCGATTTGGCTATTAAATTAAGTTACCGGCCATTCATAACTTCTACTAGCCAAAAAAAAAAAAAAACAGAAATGCTTCTTAAAGTTTTTGATATTCTTCATATTCTGTGTGGTCAGTTCACAGCAGTGATGGAAATTAATCTTTTCCGATAAGTTTAAATTGATTTTTTACTTTTATGGGCACTCTTACCTTTATACAGCCATTTTTTTCTAAAAGTGTACATCTTTTGAGTCAAATTCTTACATTTAATCAGTCAATTATAATAATAATACATTTAGGCTGTTACTAAACAAATTAAATCAGTATCAATTAAATTAATCTTTGCAGAAGTTGCATATGAAGTGGCATTTAGATGCATTTACACATGTTAATGCAGCTTAGAGGGACATGGAATGCTTTAAACTGCAGTTACAAATGCATGAAATGTTGAATAATGATACTTGAAATTATTTAAAAAATGAAAAGATACTTTAAATGTGAAATTTAAACCACCAGTAGGTGGCAGCAAGTCACTGTTAAGCTAGTCATTGCGATTGAATCATTTACACGGTTGATTCATTCAGAAACAAAACAACGTCATGTTGCTCAGAGATGCAAAACAGTACTGTGACTGTGTTTGGAATGTTTTTTGTTGGCGAAATAGCACAGAAATAGCGCAGGAAAAAAAAAACAATATGGTGTCTAAAACGTAAGTCTCTTTATATTAACTTATTGTTTATTGAACTGTTGTATAAAATAAATATCACATTTGTAACCATGCTGATTTTTTAAGAAAAAACGTCACTCTTCGTGTGATATTGATTAACTATATGAATTGATATATATACATTTTCTGCCTCCTTATCTTGAATTGTGATCATTCTTAATGCATATTAATAGACTGAATCATGCAGTGTAAGAACCACTCTAAATGCGCACGTGTACTGAAGCCTGTGTGTGTTGGTCTAACCAGACTTCATCATGCCACGTATGCACGCCTCTATAGGCGTGTTTTGTTTAGCTTTTGGAATAGACTTGATAATGTCATGATGTCTCATGAGTTCAGTATTTGCGCTAAACCTGCGCAGATTTGGCCTGCAGGAACTTCCCCAAGAAATTAATGAGTGAACATAATTTACGAAAAGTAGCCCACCAAATAGGCTAGTGATTTGACAGCGTTACCCGCCACAGCTGATTTTTACCCGCATTTGGCGGGTGTTAATTTCAAACCCTGATCTCAACCGATTTGAA